GGGTAAGAGAATTTGTTTGCTGTTATCCTGATTTAGGATATCACCTTTTTAGCTTTGTATCATGCCCTTGCTCGATTTGTAGGAACTCTGTACTTAACTTTTGTAGATTTTACAAATATTGAGTTAAAAATAAGATTTTCAAACAGTAGTGAGCAGAATTTTTGTAAAAAAAGCCATATCTGGAAAGATCTGTTTATCAAATGTGAAAGTTCCGTTGAGGATGAGGCAAAATTGAAAGCAATAAGCCAATATCTTATTTTTCAGATTCGCCAACAAACTTCGCGATCAAGACCAGTCGTTTATGAATCGCACCTTTACCATCGATACCAATAAGCGAGAAAGAATGGCCGAATTCAAGATTGATGGTTAGTACCTTAATTTTTTAGTTGGCTTCGTGCCAAGCTAAGAAATTCCTTGATTTCTGACCTTTCAGAAGCACTTCGTGGTTTTCTGCCTCGTTCACAGAGCAGTGATACCCGTCGACGATCATGCAAGGCTTCGAACGAAGCTCGCAGGTAGGTCAAAAATGATTTTCAAGGGTAGTAGGAAATTATTTTTCTCAATTCCAGGGCCTGCTCACACCCTCTATTTTCCGCATCTTGCAAACTGCCTTCCATTACATGCAATAAACAAAAGGTGGAGAACCGAACATGTACCCTGAGGCCATGGAGTCGAACCCAAGAAGAGCTACGAAAGTTCAAAGAAGCTCTAAACAACTGATATATTTTATGATTGTCGCGGGAAAGCAATATTTTACCGTCACTGACGCAAAAAAGTCCAAAAAACGCGCACTTTCATCGCGGCGCGGTTCTGATGCCTTCGAGTCGCCGAGAGAGCACGTGTACATAGGAGACGCAGACAGCTAGAACCGCGGCGCTGCTGTTTTTGCGCGCTTATCAATATCTGCTTCGGTGATTTGCTTATATATACAGTGCTTAGAACCCCCATATCCTGTGGATGTTCAAAATTAGTTGGGTTGCCTCAATACGTGTTCACTTTTTTTACCCAGTAACCAATCAATAGTGTAATATGTTGTGTTTTGTGTTCTAGTCGTCATTTGATGTGTTCATTGTGCAAATGCAGATATTTTCATTGTACTTCACAATTGATTTTACAAA